GGCATATCCTCAGACCGAAGCTTTCTGGGTAATTTTGAAATCGGATCCTCACACACGTTCTCATTCATAATAGAAGAAAAAGAGGCGAAAAGCACAATTGCTTTTCATTGTTTTTATCTCCTCTGGGACTACTACGGTCCTCTTCTCTTCAGTTTGCATCTAGCTTTTCAGAATCATTTCCATTATCTCCTAAAATTTCTCTTTCCAGTGAGCACAGAATATAGTCATCTTTTTTTAAATCCATTCTGACAATCTTTGTCTTTTAATTGCTATGTTAATAGTATTTACATTAAATGTCTTTATTGATAAATTTTGGAATTGTCTACCCTATTTTCTCTTTCCTGCCTTCTTTTGAAATTTAAATAGTTTTTTAATGCTCCATTTAAATTTATCTACAGTAATGCACCTCCTTCTGATGTTTTGGTCAATGACAGACTACATATATGACAGTGGCCCCATAAGATTAGTACCATATAGTTCAGGTGTGTAGTAGACTATACCATCTAGGTTTGTGTGAGTACACTTTATGATATTTGCACAACAACAAAACAACCTATTAATGAATTTCTCAGAACATATCCTGGTTGTTAGGTGACGCATGACCATATTGGCTCTTTAACTATATATATTTTTATATATTTTTTAGTGGTTGTTCTATGGATTTCAATATATCTACCTAACTTTACTTAGAGTTAATATTTTACCACTTCAAGTGTAATGTAGTAATCTTACAACCGCATATCGCTTTTCCCATCTGTTGTAGTTTCTGTGCATATTACATCTACATATATTGATCCAGAAAACTATATTGTAATTTTTACTTTTTAACAATGATGAATATTTTAAAGAACTTAAGAGAAGGAAAATATTTTATTCTATTCACCCAGATATTTGCTATTACCCTTTCTTCCTTTCTGAAGTTCCAAGTCTCCCTCTGATATCATTTTCCTTCTACCTGAAGAAGTTTAGCATTTCTTTTAGAGCAGGTCTGCTGGCAACAAATTCTATTAGTTTTCTTTCATCTAAGAATGTCTTTTCTTTACTTTCATTCCTGAAGGATATATTTACTGATATAGAATTCTGGATTGTCAGTTATTTTCCTTTAGTGCTTTAAAAATGTACTACTGCCTTCTGCCCTCACTGGTTTCTAATGAGAAATCCATAGTCATTCAAAACATTGTTTCCTTATATGTAATGTACTTTTTCTCTTTTTGTCTATTTGCAAGATTTTTTCTTTAACTTTCGTTTTCAGCAGTTTTATTATTATGTATCTGAGCATACTTTTCTTTGAGCTTATGTTTGAGTTTGGGGTTCATTGAAATCTTGAATCTGTAAATTAATGTCTTTTACCAAATTGGTGGAATTTTCCACCACTATTTCTTTACATATTTTTTTCCTTGCTAACTCTTTCTTCACTCCTCTGGAATTCCAAAGACATGCACGTTAGATCTTTTGATATTGTCCTACAGTTTCCTGAGGCTTTCCTCACTTTTTTTTTTGGATTGTTCTGATTGGATTATTTCTATTGTTTGAGCTTAATGTTAAGACTGAATCTTCCTTCTGTGATTTCCATTTTGGCATTCAGCCCATCCAGTGATGTTCTTATTTCAGTTGTTATATTTTTCAGTTTTACATATTTCATTTGGTTCATTTTTATATCTTCTATTTCTCTGCTGAGGACTTTTATCTTTCTAATCATTTCAAGAGTGTTCATCCTTAGTTCATGGAACATAGTTATCAATCATTTCAAAAATGTTCATCCTTACCTCATGGAACATAGTTATAATAGCTGCTTTAAATTATTTATCTGAGCATTTCAACATCTAAGTCATCTAGGGATTGCTGTCTGTTGATTGCATTTTTACTTTAGAGTTGTTGAGATTTGCTTACTTCTTTATAGGTTGGATAATTTTGTATTGTATCCTGGTCCCTGGTCATTTTGATATTACCTTATGAGACTCTGAATCTTGTTAAAATCTTCTGGAGAATGTTGATTTCTTGCTTGTTTGTTTTAGCAGTCAATTAGTCGGGTTAGGTTCAGACCACATGTCCCAACCCACTTTCTGTGGTTATTTCCAATGTCAGTTCTATTTTCAAAGCTTTCTTATGCTATTCTGGACTGCCCTATTTGTGCACAACTTCTCGATCAGTCAAAGACCTAGGCAGTAGTGTACACCATAGTTCAGTTCTCAAGCCTCTATTATATTTCCTCAGATCAACCTGGTGGATGCACAGCTTGGGGTGAGTCCACTGCTTCAAACACAGATTTAGGGAATCACTCTCTGCAAACCCTACACGCTCTGGATCTACCTCATGGGCCCCTGTTCTTTGTTCTCTGGCTGGAGAGCTGGGGTTTCAGCATCCCTGTGCTGTTGTGCACTTCCCACATTTGAGACTGCCTCCAGGTTGAAGTGGTGAGAAAAAAGCGGGAGAGAAAAAATTAACAGGGTTTCTCCTACACTGTTCGGGCCACAGAAGGCTCCTCTTCGCAGTTTTACTGGTCAAAGGGAAGGATTTTTTTTCTCAGAGTTTTAGGTGTCTGCAGGGCCTCCACTACCTCTGGAGTACAATTTTGTGGCTGGGGTTACCTCAGGGCAGGGCCAGGAGAGGGAAAAAGAAAAATCAAAACAAAGAAACCTCCTGAAAATGGAGATATCCCCCAAAGCCTCCATCGCACAGGAAGGAGTTTTAGGTTTAGCAGAGTTTTATTCCTTTTCCCAGTCTCAGCACCACCCACTTGTGATTTCTGTGCCCTTTGTTTTTGTTAATGTTGTTTGAAGTTTTAGTACAGATGGTGGTTGTTAAGTTACTTTTACAATATGTGTCTTATCTTTTGATGATATTTCGCAATTTACATTTTGTTTATAATCAGGTTTACAATAGATGTATTTATTAGAATTTTTCTTATATAGACTGGTTTTCATACTTTCCATGTTCTTTAGCTCCATTAATTTCTCACTTTTTAATCACTTAATTATATTTTATTTCTCAGTTGTCTGGAGCTTATATTTAAGTACAGTTTTATAAAAGATACGTGCTTAGTTATTTTGTTTTCTGAGCCCTTCCATATATGAGAATGTCTTTCTATTACCTTTACATATGAACAGAAACTTACATGACTATACAATTCTTTTTTATAAGTCCCCCATCCCCAGAACTATAGACTTTGGTCCACTGATTTTTGGCCTTTTGTATTGCAGAGGAAAAGTCTGCTTCAGCCTAGTTTTTGTTTCTTTGTAGATAATTCAGTTTTTGTTTGTTTCATTTAGATAATTATAGAATTTTTTCCCTTTCTTTTTGCTCAGTTTTTTTCAAGATTGCATAGACACATAAAAATGAACTGATTTTTACACATTTATTTGATTACTAGCCACCTTACTTAGCAATTTGTCTGTGATTGATGAGAAGTAGGATATCAAGGTGCTCTGGGCTTTAAAGTATGATTTTTATGGATCAGGTTATTCCATGAAATGTCCATGCAACTACTAGATGCTTTATCTGGGACCCGGATCTGCATCTCCATACCTGTCACTGAATATGTGCATCAAATGGCATCACTGGAATACTTGAGATGATGTCTGAAAATCCTCGTGGACACTATGCAACAAAATAAAATGCCCATTATCATACCTATCATATCTATCTATATCAGACTTTGAAGTGGAAATTAATCCTCTGGTAGTGAGGTCAAGGAAACTCATTAGCATCTTGTGAATAATGGTTTTCCCCGTGCTTTTTCAATTTAGTAGTTGGATACCAAGAACCCTCTATGTGCCTGGATTATAATTCTTGGGATCACCTAACTGAGAGAGTGCAAACTAAGGAGAGCATTCTTGAGGACATCAATCCACCCACTCTGCCATTAAGGCTAGTTTCTTTAGCTTTATAGAAATTTACCTTCTCTGAATATTTTTCCTTAGCTTTTCTCATGGGTCATTACAAGAAGCCATCATATGCAAATTGTTTGAGGATTAGTTGTCACTTTTTAAACCCTTGCCATTAGGTACTCTCATATGAGAAACATTTTTTTGAATTTAGTAATGCAAAAATTTTAAAAATCGTCAGTCTCCTCTAAGAATTACACCTTTTTAAATTTCAAGAACTATATAAATATTCTGTTTTTTCTTTCTCTTGTCTGTGAGGTAGTTCTGAAGCAAATTATTGCTTAAACTATATTAACATGTACAATTCCTTGTTTGTTTTACTCTTTCCTGACAATTGACTGGTTATTTCTAGTTTGTTAACTTTGTTTCATGCCCCACAAGGGAGAGGTAATATATCAGTGAGGATGCGTTTTTCGCCTTGATCAGGGGCTTAGTGCTGTGTGGGCTGAGTCAGCCTTCATGCTTTGGTTTTGCCCTCTTTGTTGCAAGATGACCTCACAGCTCCAAGCATCGTGTCCCTCAAATGTCCAGAACAGGAAGCAGAAGGTGGTGTAAGGCAGAGAGGTTCTCCCTGGGTGACTCTCTCAGAAGCATCTCTAGTATACATCCTTAATATGTCATCAGCCACATCTGGGCCATGTTGCCATGCTATCCAAAAGGAGGGTAGAGAAGTGAGTATTGCATATTCTAGGCTTCTACAGTGGGAAGTAGGCAAGAAAGAAGGAGGTTGAGAAATATTTTTGGATATCCAATCAACTCGTTTCTCCACAAGTGGGCCAAATAAAATAAAGGCTATTGAATATAAAAATTATTTACAAATACTTGCATAATTGTGTTGGTTATTTTGGTTACTGTCTGTACACACATGCATACATGTGCATACAGCTGAAGAAAATGTTTACTAATGAGATGCCTCTGTGGCTGCGTGATGTGATGAAAAATTGGAAATCGCATCATAATTTGATATGTTAAGAATATTGTTCACCTTAAATTAAAATCTAATAAGCTATTTTTGCAAACTTTTAAATTTCATATGAGAATGAAAAGCATTATACTCATGATAATACATTCTGAATATAACCAATATAACCAAAACTTATGTGACTTTTCATTTAGAGGATGTTTTGGATATTATTCAAGATGAAGGCTTTAAAATACTGATGCAAAGACAAATAGTATTATCCAAAGAAGAAGCACAAACACTGTGCAAGAAATATGAAAGTGAAGATTTTTTTGAAAATCTTATAGGAAACATGACCAGGTAAAGTAGATTTCAGGTTTAGAAAGCACAGTCTGGTTTATTTTTCAATCATTTAAATCTCTTAACCCTGCCCTGTTCAAGTTGCTATCCCTCTCAATTCTGTAAACATGGGCTGAGTCTGCTTCTTTGCCAATCTCACTCTCAACTTGATTCTCTGCTCAACTGCCCATCTTCTTGAGTTCTCCTAGAATGTTAGTAGAGCAATGGAAAGATGAAGTTGCTTTAGTCCAGTTGAGTTGAATGCCAGAAATCCAGGGTGTGTAACATCAAGTCCAAGCAGAGAACTTACTGACTCTCAAGGGCTTTGGTAATCCTAAAGATCACTGGTCGTAGGAGAGAAATGAAATGCTAGAAGTCTGTCAGATTACTAGAAGAATAAGTGAAATAGCAGCTGGAGCAGAAATCCAGCAAAGGTATGTAAATGAACAGGCGTATGGGAACAATATAGGAACAACTTTATCAGAACCAAGGCCCTTCTCTTCCCTTCCTTTCTCTGCTTGCAACCTTTTATAGGTTGAGAGTACACTGGAAATTAATTTCAGACTCTTGATAAAAGGATTATTTTTGACTTTTTTTAGTCTATTTAACAAATACACTTTTATTACCTATATATAATTAGCTACTGAGCCATACTTTTATTAACTTACTTTTTCTTTTCTAACAGTGGTCCGTCTTTAGCCCTTGTTTTATTAAGAGACAATGGTTTACAACACTGGAAAGAGTTAATTGGACCAAGCAATGTTGAAGAAGCCAAAAAATGTCTTCCAGAGAGGTAGGATTCATGTCATGGGTCCCAAACTTTCTTCATGGGAACCATTTTAATTTCTTTTTGGATATGGAATACAGGAACCACAGCTATAGTGCAAGGGAGGCTCTGAGGAAAGTTACTTTTCCTGGGTAAGGCATGGAATGCTTATGACTGGAGGGCCCAGCCCAACGTCAGCCTGAATATGGCTAAGGCTTTGCAAGAGAAGGTTGTAGGATGCTTGGTTTGGGGCTGGGAAGTAATGGGTAGTGTTGGATAATCCAGCCAAAAGTTCATCTCTTGGCAGAAATATCCAACCCATCTGCTATTCAGGAGAAATTCCTTTGAGAAGGGTGTGGTGGCAGCTGCAGATTCTTCAGTTAATTGTAAGAGTTTCAGGACAATGATGACTAACTTATTATGTAGTCTACAATCTGGTGGGAACATTTAGTTAATTTACTGGTGAATCTTAGAAATCAGCTAAACTTTGTAATCAGCTCAACACTTGGCATGTTCCCTGGCACATAGGTTGCACTGTTTAAACATTTTTTGATCTTAGCTGTTGGGCTTGGTCTTGCCTGGAGGATAGGGATAGTATCTCTTGCTGGAAACAAACTGAATTGCAATTCACTTGAATTCTTTGTGCTGATTTCAGGATGGGATTCAATTCAGGAGAAGAAAGGCCCTCCCTTCAAGTGAGCAAGAATAGAGATGCTTTATCAGGCACAGTAAACTTGACATACATGTTGACACAATAAATAACAATACTTATGAAACATCACTTAGATGAAAGCTGACATGGTTTCTTTTGGGTAGGATATCTGGAATCTGGCTTGTCCTGAATGGACTCATTTTACCCCTTATATAGCCCTATTCACTTATGTCTTTACTCCTGTGCCAGACAATTACCATAAAGGATATATGGTTGAACACCATGTAAGTGGTGTGAGCAGAGTATCGTAGAATCTCTTAATGAAATGCAGCATAGAATGCAATGCATGGCATCAGAGAGAAAAATTCCTATCAACATGAGGCCTATGCCTGTAGGCGCACTGTTCTAGAAATTGTGGTTCCAAGTGTGGAGGTAGTGCACCAGCACAGAGACATTGTCTCCAGGCGAAGGCACTCAGTGACTCTCTCTCCACCCCACTATTATAGTGAGGATTCTCATCCAGAGCCTTATGATCCCTATGTTGCCACAAGTTCATAACTAATCTTGACCATTATTTTTTATTGGTCCCCGCTTTCCAATTTTCTTGGTTCCACCCAGCTCTTTCAGGTTGGTTTAGAAATAACTCATTAAGCAGAGCTCTGCCCTTTTCCTGCACTTGGGTATCTGCTTTGCTTAATTGGAAATATGGTCACTTGCATAAAAGAGAAACACAGCAACCCCTCCCTCTCACCCTTTATTCCCTTTATCCCATCCTTCGCCTCTCACACACACTTTTTCCAATAAACATGTCTAACAGCATAAGAGAGGGCTGGTTGCAGTTCTCTGCATTGAATGGAGTAAGTGCTGGTTGGTTGGCTTGGGTTGTTTTCATCATTCATTGTGCAAATACCCCATCCCTGGCAATCACAGTCTACAAGGGTCTTGGGCTGCAAGTATTTTCAAATCAGAAGTGTGAGAAGAGCCAAGGGCCAAGTGGGAAGGTCAAGTTGGTTAAGGCATAAAGGAAATCTGAATGGGTCACTGAAACCAGAAAGGCAATAATGCCAAGTTTCCAGTAATGTTAGTCTATTAACAGAAAGGGGTATTATTCACCATGCCTGGATTTTGTGGGTTGGTTGCTCAGGGCTGTGTGTAAAGGACAGAAAATAAAATGAAGGGTGAGCTTCTCCTCTACTGAAATATGCATAGATAGATAGAGAAAGAGTAACTGAAAAAACATCAAGAAAGCAGAACCAAAATAAACTACCCAACCCAACATCAACATCACTCCTGCCTCTTTACACAAAGCCGTCCTGCATGCTCCTCTTTTATTGCTGCACTTTCTCACCTGGAGGGTTCCATTGCACTGTCTCCTGGATTCGGTGTTTATAATTTGGTATCTTTGGTATAGAGACAAATGCCCTCTTAAGTGCTTGATAATATTTAGTGGTAAACGAAGGGGAAGGAATATTTCTTGTGAGCTTAATATGTACCATATATTTCAAATACGTCATCTGATTACACCCTCAAAATCACCTTCCAAAACAGGTTTTATCATCTTATTTATATTTGAGACAACTAAAGCCCAGAGAAGTAATTGCCCAATATCACACAGCTAGCAAGTGGTACAGCCAGGATTCCACAGTCTGTGCTTTCTCACTGCACCAGGGCATCCACGGCTTCTTTCACGGTTATCTGTCAATATCCATTATCACGATTATTTACATGTTCATGTCCTTTCTTCCTAATGACTATTACCTCCTTGGAAGGAGGTAGCATGCTCCAAGCCACTCTGTAATTGTTCCCTTTCATGCAGTGCCTAGATCAGGGAGGAGTTGCTATTCTTGCTAACTTTTGAACAATTTATATCAATAGTGTTACATTGTGTGTTATGTTATATTATATTATAGGATAACTGTTTTTAACTTCACTTCTTTTTCAAAGTTTATGTGCACAATTTGCAATGGCAAGTTTGCCTATCAACCAGTTGTATGGAAGTGATTCATTAGAAGCTGCTGAAAAGGAAATCCAGTATTTCTTTCCTCCTCAAAGCACTTTAGCACTGATTAAACCTCATGTGACACATCAACAAAGAGGTAAATATTTAAAAATAAAAGCCAATGTATTTTTTTCCTCCAAATTTTGTGAAAATTTTCAAACTACAGAAAAGTTGAAAGAATAATGCAATGAACACCTTTGTCTCCAGAATGTAGCCCTCAAAGTTTCGGCTGTTGGTGAGATTTTGACAAGATTTACTTAATTTTATTTCCTCAGTGGTGCCCTCCTTCTTCAGGGAGAAGAGTTCACATTGGCTGTCCCCTTCCATCCATATCTGGCAAGAAGTTCCTTGGCATTTGTAGCATGGAGATGAAAACACGTATTAACTTTTAGCATACGAGCAGATCACCCCTCTCCCTCTTCTATAGTCCACTAGATGTTTCAGATGGTTCTTGGAAAGATGGATCTCAGAGACTGAAGATCTACATTAACATAATAAAGTTCTTCTGAATGTCAATCTAGTGCTTTGTTTTTTTTTAATTACTTTTTTTTTTTTTAAGGAAGATTGGCCCTGAGCTAACATCTGTTGCCAGACTTCCTCCTTTTTTCCTTTTTTCTCCCCACAGCCCCAGTAGATAGTTGTATGTCATAGTTGTACATCCTTCTAGTTGCTCTATGTGGGATGCCACCTCAGCATGGCTTGATGAGTGGTGCGTAGGTCCGCGCCCAGGATCTCAACCCGTGAACCCTGGGCCGCCACAGCAGAGCATGTGAACTTAACTGCTACGCCACCGGGCTGGCCTCTAATCTGGTGCTTTTTAAATTCAATTTAGTTTAGCATAGTTTTAGTTTTTTAAACCAGAGTGTGCAAGTAAAACTATTCATTTCCATAGTTATTTCAATCTAATTGAATATGGAGCAAAAGTGGAGGAAATCTGTAGGATTACCTCATATCTGTTTTCCCTAGAGGAGATCTTGGAGCTCATTAAAGAGGCTGGATTTGATATAACAGAGATAAAGGAAATGCTGCTAACTGAAGAGCCAGTGGGGATAATTTATTCAAAAATAAAAGGAAAAGACTTTTATAAAGATATATTGGAAATGTTATCTGAGTAAGTTTCTGATATACAGTTCTTCACATTATAAAAGTAGTAAATGTTCATTGTAGAAACTTTGAAAAATAAAAAAATTAATTAAAACATTTAGTCTAATTTCATTCATGAAAAGACACCCTGTTAATATTTGAGGTTTATTCATTTTTTATTTACTTCCTTCTCTCCCTATCTTCCTCTCCTTCCTTCCTTCCTTCCTTCCTTCTTTTCTTCCTGTTTCTTTAGGTCTTCACAGTAGATATAGAGGCTCTCTGAGTTTAAATCCCCACTTTGCCAATATACTTAATTGGTGTCTCAGTTTCCTTATCTGTAAATTGGGGTAATAATGGTACTTACCTCAGAGGTTTGTTGTGAGGCCTAAATAATTGATACATTGAAAGCACTTGGAACAGTGCCTGGCGTATATCCCTAAAATTAGACTACAGCACTCTTCTAGCACAAAAACGTTTTGGAAGAGGGAGAAATGAAAAAAAAAGCACAAAATCACACTGATAAGGACAAAGAATAAAGAGGAGCTCTCTGGATGAAGCTGTGGCATTCTGTCTTTAGCCAGATATGCAGTCTCTAGACTTGTAAATAGCCCAGGTCTTCTGAAAGCATTATTATTTGCAGGGGTCCGTCTCTGGTCATGATTCTGACCAAGTGGAATGCTGTTTCAGAATGGAGACGATTGATGGGTCCCACAGACCCAGATGAAGCAAAACTACTGTCCCCAGACTCTATTCGAGCCCGGTTTGGAAGAAGTGTTTTGAAAAATGCTGTCCATGGATCATCTAATACCTACGAGGCAACGGAGACCATTAGTAGATTTTTTGAAGAGTTTGTTCCTGAGAATCCTGAGGAAAACTAAAGTACAGTACCTCTTTAATTATTATTTTCTTTTCTTTGCTTGTTACAGTGACTGGGCCTAGGACAAGGCTGTCCTGGAAAGACCAGAACTTTTCCCATATTTCTGAGTCAAATTTTATTTCCTGCCAGACACACAATGCTACTCCATAGCAGCCTTGAAGCCTCAAAGCCGAGTCTTGTAGATGCCAGGGCCCTGGGAAACAGTGGGGCAAGTGAGACACTCTTGGGTTTGCAAGCCTTGGTCTCAAGCTGTCTGTGCCATCTGCCATGATGCAGTCTCGTGCAGTCCCTCTCCTTGATTTCCCTCCACTTCTCCGATTTAAATGGCCAAAGTCTCTTTCAGCAGCCTCAACTCTGTTCTCTAAGTATTTAGACACTTGGAACCTACTAACCACCTGGGGGTGCTATATGATAATGTAATATAATAGAATACTAGAAATCATAGAGTAAAAGGCAATCATTCTATTCTTTGGCAAAGAGGTACTTATTGGGAAGAGGTAGCTATGTAATGTGTATATGGAGTGAGTCTGCTTAGCTGTTGATAGAAAACTTGAAAACTTTTCTCTTCTGGGCAACGTGTGAGATGGAGTGTAAGACAGGTGACTTTTCCCATCAAACTGACTTTCCTTCTTTATTTTCAAAGAGCAAGGCCACAAAAGTACACCTGTCTGGCTCTGGCTGCTGACCTGAATTTAGCTGTACAGCTTCTTCACGTGTGGAGTGTTGTCCCCTGCTGGATGAGCCAAAATGAGACTCAATCTCCAGAGCATAATGAGAAAGTGATGTGAAGTGAGAAACCTCTCCACACCCAACCAGGTTCCTTAGGGAGAGAAGAGTACATTGTTCCCTTAATATTGTCATTTAGGCTATGATTTCTCCAGGTATAAGAACATTGTATCAAAATATTAGATGCATAAAATAAAAGTAAATTCTGGCACAGTACAGCTCATTCCATAAGTCTGACTCAAGTATAGACCAAGGCATGATTGCAACAACCCATAAACACTTATGTTGGAAAAATATGTATTGTATGTCTGCTTGAACTGTGGGTTCTTGGTTAACACAAAACTGGTTGAATGAAGGTTGCTACCTTTAGGGAAATGCAAATCTAATGGGGAGACAAAACTCACAGAAACAATACCTAATTATAACCACCATAAAATAGTAAATTATTAAACATGTCCATGATGAATGACTGGGGAGGAGGTGAGTGAAACTACATTGTTTATAGTTTCTATTAGCAATATGGTATAGATCTATCCTAACATCTGTAGCTCCCTCCCTTTTTTGATGAGGCAAGCATTATGAACAATGTAGAGGATTTTGAATTAGTGTATAATTCTGTGCTGAATCGACAGGTGTATGTTTGATGGGTAGCAGCTGGAGAAGAAAAGGAGTGAAATAGATCTTGAAAAATGGGTAGGATTTTTCAAAATCAGAGGTAAGGAAGCAAAAAAGAGAATTCAGTTTTAAAAGTTTCTAAACCATCATATATATGTGCGTGTGTGTATATATATATGTGTGTGTGTATGTGTATCAATGTTTATATATAAAGACATTTTGCTGATTTCTGTCTTACTATGTCTACTATACAATATCATATCACTCTGAGGGCTAGTATTGTGGGTCTGTTTCAGACACTCAAGAATCATTTGTTCAGCTTTCTGGACACTGTTGCAGGGCTGAATATATATAGTCCTTGTCCTAAAGGAGCTTAGGACTATAAAAGCAGAAGATAGAAAATTAACATGTATTCAAGGGTTCTTAAGGGTAAGCACAGAGTGCTTTGAGCAGATGCATATAGGAGATGGAGAGGGAAAATGATATGCAAGCTCTCCAGGCAGGAGGCATTGCAATAATCAAAGTGAAAGATGACAGCAACCTGAACTAATGTCGAAATGGTGGGTTAATGGTAAGTGGAATGATTGGAGAATTCTTAGAAGTCTGCATTGCATCCACAGGACTTGATGATTGACTCCCACTCTACCGAATAAGTGGGAAAAGATAAAGCTACCTAGCTTGAGTAACTAAGAAAATGATCTAACCATTCCCAGATGGGGAACCCAGAGAGAGAAGTAGGTTAGAAGGAAATACCGTGAGTTCCATTTTGGTCATGTTGGGAAGAAGGCATCTGAGTTGAGAGTAAGTCAGGCCTTCAGAGCACGGGAGTCAAGAAGGCTCCATTGGTGTGATGTCAGCACAGTGGTGGAGTAGGCAGCTCCAAGCTCCCATTCCTCCATAGGAACATTGCAAAAACAACAAGAAACTGTCAGAACCAACTTTGTTAGAACTCTGGAAAATAATCAAAGGTTTAAAGCAACCAAGTGAATGCTGAATCAACAAAAAGACAACTTAAAAATGATATGAAAGCTTTGTGACATTTTTACTTGCCCTTGCCCTACCACTTCCTTAGCTTTTTGACAGTCTTAAAGAGTGTAGCCTGTGTTCCCAGTGTGGGACTCTGTCTCTCACCAGACAGAACAGAGCAGATATTATTCACAAACTATAGTGTTTTTCTGTTCTAACCTGTCTGGAGGCTACCTGAAGGATGACACAAGGCACTCATCTCTGTTTCACTTAACCTGGAAAACACTCAGGGAGGAAAAGTGATGGGCATTGCTGGAAAACAATGTATGGTGATCAAAAATCCCACAGCTGCCTGGGGCCAAAGATTATGGTTGAAACATATAATAGACTACCTAATGCCAGGGACAAAATGCTGGGGAGAGAGTTTCTTTGGGAAATGAAGATGTTCAAAAAGACTAGTGCATGCTGGGGAATTTAGGAAGTTATGCACTTGCCCAGGAGAAGATACATGCTCAGAAAAGATCTGAGAGATCCTAAGTTTTCACCACTGGCTGATGTATAGGCTCAGTACGAGCAGGAAGTGAAGGCTGATGCAGAATTGTAAATGGCTTGGCTAAGTGTTAAAGAAGTGCCACAGCACAGAGCCAGTCCACAAAGCCTTGAAGAGGTGGCTCATTGTTGTTGTTGTCTTTAAACTCTTGGCTTTCAAGGAAATGTCAGTCAAAACACTGGCTGAACACACGCTAAGTCTTCACTAATCCAGAAGAGCAAACCCTGGGGAAGAGGGAAAATCTGATTTCCAGAGTTACTGCATTATAATAGTTGAATGCTCAGTTTTCAACAAAAAAATCACAAAATATCCAAAGAAATAGGAAAGTATGGCCCATTCACAGGAAAAAATGGACAGAAACCATCCCTGAGAAAGCCCAAATATTGGACTTACTGGATAAAGACTTTAAATCAACTATCTTAATATGCTCAAAGAGCTTAAGGAAACCATGGATAAAAAAACTAAAGGAAGTCAGGAAAATGATGCATGAACAAAATGAGAATATGAATAAAGATAAATTACAAAAATAAACAAAGTAGGAATTCTGGAGCTGAAAAATTCAATCATGGAATTGAAAAATTCACTAGAGAGGTTCAAAACAAATTGGAGCAGGCAAAAGAAAGAACCAATGAACTGGAAGATAGGAAAGTGGGAATTATCCAGTATGAGGAGCAGAAATAAAAAAGAGAAGAAAGAAAAGTAAACAGTGCCTAAGGGATCCATGGGACACTACCAAGCAGGCCACCATATGCATTTTGGGAATTGCAGAAGGAAAAGAGTGAGAGAAAGGAGCAGAAAGAATATTTGAAGAATGAATGGCTGAAAACTTCCCAAATATGATGAAATGCTTAAATCTACACATCCAAGAAGCTCAATGCATTCCAAGCAAGAGAAACTCAAAGAGATACACACTGAGACACATTACAATCAAACTGTAAAAAGCCAAAAACAAAGAATCTTGAGAGCAGTAAGAGAGAGGTGACTTGTTATATACATGGACTCCTCAGTAACAGCTGATTTCTCATCAGAAACCACGGAGGCCAAAGGCAGTGGGATAAAACATCTAAAATGCTAAAAGAAAAAACTGTCAACTAAGAATTCTATATCCAGCAAAACTATCCTTCAAGAGTGAAGGTGAAACTAAGACATTCCCAAGTTAACAAAAATGTAAAGGGAGTACTTCAAACTGAAATGAAAAGACACTAGACAGTAATTCACAGAACACTGGTAAAGGTAACTACATAGGTATATATAAAAGCCAGTATTATTGTACTTTTGATTTCTTACTCCTCTTTGTTTTCTATAGTATATAAAAGACAAATATAAATAAGGTAATGAATATAAACATATGTTAATGGGCACACAATGTATAAATATGCAATCTGTGACAGTAATTATATAAAAGAGAGAGAGACAGAGATGTGTAGGAGCAGAGCATTTGTATACTATTGAAACTAAGTCGGTATTATTCAAAGTAGGTTGTTAGAAGTTTAAGAACGTTAGTTATAATTCCCAAGTGGGAATTCCTTATTGGTTACCCTAAGAAAAGTTTTTAAAAATTGCAGGAAAAAAGGGAATCAAAATGGTACACCGAAAAGAAATTAACCAAATACAAAAAGAGCCAGTAATGAGAAATTGAGGAACAAAAGCACATAGGACATACAGAAAACAAATAGGTAAGTGGCAGAAGTAAATTCTTCTAATCAGTGATTACTTCAAGTATAAGTGGAGTAAATTCTCCAATTTAAAGGCAGAGGTTGGCAGAAAAGATTAAAATATGTGATCCATTTATATGCTGTCTACAAGAGATTCATTTTAGATCCAAAGACACAAAGAGGTTGAAAATAAAAAGATGGAAAAATATATTCCATGCAAATAGTAACTAAAAGAGAGCTAAGGTGGCTATATTTTTATCAGAAAAATATGTTTTACATCAAAAAGGTTTATAAGAGACAAAAGAAGATATTATATATTGAGAAAGATTCAATTCATCAAGATATAACTGTAAAAATCATATACACACATAACAACAGAATCCCAAAATACATGAAGCAAACTTTGACAGAACTGCAGGGAGAAATAGACAGTTCCACAATAATAGAGACTTCAATATCCCTCTTTCAATAATGGGTAGAACAATAAGACAGAAGATTAAAAAGGAAATAGAGGACTTGAACAATACTATGGTCCCATTAGACGTGAAAGATATATACAGGACACTCCACCAATCAACAGTAGAATACACATTCTTCTCAAGTACACATGGCACATCTCTAAGATAAACCATATGTTAGACCACCAAAAAATCTTAATAAATTTTAAAAATATTGAAATCATATGAAGTATCTTGTCTGACTA